GTAAATTTTCTTGAAGAAATAAACACTCTAGCATTTTTTTCCTGAGAGCTGCAAACTGACTTAAGAAATTTTGATTAAAGAAACAGCCCTTAATAAAAGATTTTATTTTTTACTGAAATAACTGAAAAAATAGAATAAAACTATAGTTTTTATTCTCTTCAAATAACTAGAAAATGTTGTTGGTAGATATTTTCCAAATTTGGTAAATTTTTTTCAAGTAGAAGGTAAGTATTTTTTTTCGTCAGTGGCAACCCTGGATGTGTGTAGAAATTAGAGAATTGTAGAGAGAGAGAGAGAGAGAGAAAGAGGGAGAGCAGAATACAACACGAAACTTTTATGCTCACACGCGAAATTTAGCTACAAAATTGCAACAATTTGTTATACTGTATATTTCGGATATAAGCACAGCTGCTTCTAAACGGAGAAATGTTTTTTTTTTTTTTTTTTTTTTTTTTATAGAAAGCCAGCTTATGCATTAAGAAATAGTAGTTTAGGTAGATTTTTTTTTCTTGAGTTCGTGCTTATATTTTTATAAGTATATACGGTGGTGGGCCCTCAAATATTTACCAATTTAAAATGCTATAGTTTTGTTCATTTCTTTTTTTATTTACAACCATCAGATCATCATGTAAAATTTTAAGAAAAGTGCATTACTGTTAGATTTAGTCACATTCAGCGCGGACAACTGCATCGAGTCTATCTGAAAATGATTCACAGGCTGCACAAATGTAGTCTGGTTATTTTTCCCCAGTGGCAGCGAAGAGCAATCTTCACGGCGTTGGCCTCGAGAATGGGACATACGGAAAAATCCATTGCTTTTAATTCTTAAGAATATGGTGGCCATTGTTGTGAATAAATGAAGTTGGGAAGGTTTTTTCTAAAAAACGTTGAATTTCGCGAACTTTGCAACATGCGACATTCGTGCAACATATGAAGCATTACCGGGCAGACTCGATGCTATTTTCCGCGCCAAATATGGCTACATCGAACTGTAATACACTTTTCCTGTGATGAGGAACGGATATTTAAAAAAAATGTGATTGAAAAAATTTACCATTGTTTTAGCTCCAGTATTACCAAGACGGGAATTAATTTATCTGGGGTGCTTGTAAGCAAGAAATACTGTACGAGTAAGTAGTTATGGACGGCGCAACGAGTGCGGAATTGGGTGGGCACCAAAATATGTAAACATTACTTGCCGAGTGAAAGGATAGTAATGAAAGCATGCGAGAGAAACAAATCGTGCCTGAAATTGAGAGCGCCATTATGTTTGAGTGTGTGTTGCAGAGTGTAAATTAAATGTATGGCTTTTGCCTTCGTGCCATGCACGGACACAGCTGTTCTTTGTTTTGTAGCTCCTGTGGCTTATTTTTCGATGCCCTCCATGCGTTGAAAGAAAATACCACACTTATAAAAGGGTCAGTTTAGAATGCCAGTCATAGATATTATGTTTAGAGATGACTAATTTCTGCCACTAATCCAGCATACAAATAGGTATCTAAGGCGCTAGGTGGTTAAAATTAGATTACGCCACCAATTGAAGATCTCTGGGGTAGACGATTTCTTAGCAAGCATTGATGAAATACGAGAAGAGCTATTTAAACCTTAGCCTTGCGAAAGTAGGGCAGCTGAGTTGGAAATGCTAAATAGATGCAATCAATAGGTTCGACAATAATTATCTGTCATCCAGAATAAGTTCCCATAGAACAGTGCCCGGAAAGAATTCCTGCCAGAACGGACCGTTAGTTCGCGTAAAGCCAGCTGAAGACGCTACTTTGGCCGCCAGCGGTCGTCAACCGGCCAGGTGGGCATTTGCAATCTGCCATGTTGGGATATTCGGATAGAGCTCTCTGAGCTAACTTAAAACTTATCTCTCAAAGAGTGGTCCGTAGGTTGCTGCAGGTACTCCTATGATGTAAAGTTGCCCTCAAGGGTGTCTGCCTAGCAGTGAAATTGCCTACAGTGTCACGGTGCCTATAATTCCACTCACCATATGTTATTAAGAAGAAATCTGAGGTGATCCAGAGAGAAATTAGTAGGCAGTCGGATGCCCCCATTATAGCGCCATCTTTGCTTGATATATGCTGCTGAAATCTAGAAGCCTTAGCTCAAGATTAACGGAGAGTTTTTGACAGAACGCTCCTCTTTCAATTCCAGGGTACGGAGCATGAACCAACTAACAAGATCACCCAGCACGGCAACCGTGTATTTGTAATTGCATTTGAGAAAAAAAAAATAATAGTTGATGACGTCATTTTTTAATCGGTTCTTTCACTCACACACAGGTTTCATTCCGTTTTATCCAAATGGTGGCGAAAAATTGACGTCACTGCAAAAAAATTAATTTTTTCTCGCACGCCGTCCTGGGTGATCTTTAATCGTTCGTTCATGCGCTGAGCTTGCGCAACTTGCCGCGCATCAGGCGAGGCTGCTAGCAAACGAGTACTCATTATTAGCTCTGCCCTCGTGCGCGCGTCGTTGCGAGCGAGGCACTCATTTGCAGCAGCAGACGAGCGAGGCGAGTAGATGATCGAGAATATGATAGGCAAACGGATTGTTTAGTCAGAAAAAAATGATGGGATATAAATTGTATCAACTAAAAATTTCGAGTTAAGGATTGTATGTACACATGCACATATCGTCGTTTAAACTAGCCGTTTTACAGTGACGAGTTAACTCTCATTCAGTCTACATAAATAAATACATGTGTACATACATAATGGTGGGCACGGTTTGAGCCAAGCTGGCAGCCCTGCTCACCTCACGAGTACGAGCTGCGAGCAGTGAGTAGACGTTTGCTCGCTCGCTCGCTCGCTCGAACTCCGAGTTTTTGCATACCCTGTTAAATTCTAACATCCATATTTGCGCTATCCGTGAAGAAATATGTTTTGTGGACCTCTGCCGCTCTCCCATCCACCCTTTAGAAGAATGTATGCAGAGAAGGATCCAATAGGGGCCAGCTTTGATACTCGCTGATCAGTTTCTTCCGGTGCATATAAAGTCGAAGGAGAACCATTGAATAATTTTCGACTGAATTCCTCCAGATAATTCCCTAAATTTCATACAGCCAGTCAATTACCTTTGGACAGACGGCCCACAGCTTCCATATGGCGTTTTTACAGCAGTGCAGAGCAACGTCATATGCACGACCCTTTTACTCGCTCCTCAAAGATTAGCTTTCGGTATATCTTTCTGTGTAGGACCACAACTGCTTGGCCATGTCAGAGACCCTAAATGGAATGCCATAGATTGAGAAAAGTTAGGCATTCGGCACTTTATACCCCTTGGGGACAACATAAGCAATGATCGGGGAGTCTCTTCCTTTTAGCTTCTCCAGCTTAGTCGAGCCATTGGTAGGGCTTCGATTTCTTCGATCTTGGGGTTGCCACCTAAACACAATTTTGGCTAAGGTTAAAATTTTTTTTAATATTTAAATATATTTTTGTACTTACAGAACGTATACCACTGTAAAAGTGCTACTCATTACGGCACCTTATCAATACCTAAATAGTTAAGTTTTAAGGAAAATAACTCTCAAATGCGTTGGTTTTTTAAATGCTGTTAAGGAAACTTTTGGTTTCTCAACTTTTTGTGGCGTTCGTGGTATTTTTGAAAATCATTCTCATTTCTTGTTATTGTTTACCAAAAGCAGTCAACGGTTGTTGTTGCTGTTGCTTGCAATTTCGGCTATCTCACAGGAATATCCGCAGTGCCAACTGAGTATCGATGTGTTAGTAATTACGATTACGCTCACGACGAAGGAGTTTCGTGTCGTTTGCACAATTTCGCAATTACTTAGTTGTGGCAAGTTTCAGTTTGTGGCAATCACCGAACGAGAGCAGTTCGAAGCAGCGGTTAAAGCAATCAATGTAACTGGATATCCCAACAAGGCATTGGGGCAACAGCACTTGCTGCAAGCAAGCAGAAGTGCAGGCCGAGAGCGCAAAGTAGGAGCACAAGGCAAAGTAGCCAGTGAAGTGAACTGCTTAAAAAATAAGCAAAATAAAGTAGAACTCAGCTTGAAAAAAAAGAAAAAAAAAAACAAAACAAATCTACCGTGAGGAAGGACAACAAAAGTGTTGTGCATGCAGTGCTAACACAAACAATAACAAAAACTAAATAAATAAGCAAAATAAAAACACCGAAATTTTCATTCCAGATACAGACAAAATTTTTGCTTTCGCAAGGAATATTGCGAAAATGAAAATTCATTCGCTAATATACGAAAAAGTAGTAAAAACATACCTAGTTCAGGGAAAATCTATACATAAAACTGTTGAAGTGGTGTAGTTGAAGCCGTTGAATACGAGTATTCTTCCAGCCCAACACATTTGGAATGTTGAATATAAGTTTGTTTTTGTTCGCTTGCGAGATGCGATAAGACCAAAAAATTTACACACAAATAATTACAATCATCAAATAGTCAAATCATTGTCGCAGCAGTTGCTGTGACGGCAGCGACGGCAAATCCAGCCACACAATAAGCAGCAGAAAAGGCTACTACAACCCAAACGCAACCAACAACGACGGCAGCGACGATAACAACCGACGCTCGAAAATGTCAACACTTCCGTTTTTGTTGAGCGTCGCCGATGAGCTCGATAACCTCAACTCCCAATCGTACATGGACGACTTCGGGCTGGGCTTCCATCCGCACCGCCAGTACTACCGTACGCCCACCATCCAATTGTCCTTGCCCGCCAGCACCGACTGGATGGAGCATGACCGCTCGCAGCGCTATCGCTCGCACAAATTCGTCTTCGAAACACAAAACAATCTAACGGCCACCGCGGAGGGCGATGAGGCGGAAGGCACCGATGAGGCTGGCAATGGCGGCCGTGGCGGCGCGCTGGACGGCAGCGGTACGGACAATGCGTATGTAGATCGCTACGGCAGCGGGGCAAGCACGTCCGCCGCCAGTCGCCAAAAATACACTTCCCTACTCAACTCGAACAACGACGGCGAAGGCAAGGGAGTGCTCGGCGGCAGCGGCAGTGGCAGCGGCAGCAGCAGCACCAAGGGTGGCAAGCGCGATGACGCCGATGCCATCGATAACACAGTGCAGATGTATAACTTGTCGAAAAAATGTTGCAAGAATTACTATCGACGCGGCGACGAACCGCAGTCGGGCGTACTGACGGCCAAGGAGAAATCCGCAGAAGGCGGCTATCGTTTGCATGCCAAGTGCATGGAGGGCGCCAACTCGTCGTCGGATGAGAGCTTACAGAAGCCCACATCCTCCATTGAATTTTTGACGTGCTTCCTGTTGAAGAAGTCGCGTGCGCCCAAAGGAGCGGGCATCAGCGGTGGCAAGAAATCGTCGTAGGACACGGTTTCGAAGCGTAGAAGCAATTGTTTCTGAATATGTTGGAGAGGGGCGGGTGGCGATGGCGAAGGCGAAGGCGAAGTCAATGGTGACGGTGATGGCGACGGTAACGACGTGGGGGGAAATCGTGGCGTGCCAGGCCGGAGTAATGGTAATGGGGATTGGAGAGCTTGTTGCGGTGAAATTGATTATCAGAAGTGATGGTGGCGAAGGCGAAGGCGAAGGCGAAGGCGAGTGCCGATTGAAGACTGACGATGGACGATTTACGCAGTCACGCGGCTGTAATGTTGCTACAATGCAACTCAACTGAGCAACTGTGCAATCGAGTGAGTGGCGAAGGTTGTAACGTTACACCTTGGCTCTTCGTGCACAGACAAACTGACGCGCTTTCACACTTTATTTGGCAATGAGTTTGCGAAGCTGTCAAGGGTAAAATACAAGGTCTTCGAGGTGCAGACGGGCGTTGAGGGATTACGGCAAAGGTTGGTTGGAGAAATCAAATGCGCCGCAAAAAGTGCAATGAAAAGGGATTCTCATACAAAGCGAAAGTGAGAAGAAAATGCAGCAGTTTTGATGCATTCGCATATAAAATTTAGTACTTACGCATAACATTTACATATAATCGCATATAGCAATTTGAAATTAGTTGTAAATTGAAAAAAATGTAGACTTATTAGGGCCGTTTTCACCATCTCTGGTTAACACTAAGCTCCAGTTAAACCTCTTTACCGACGTTCTCGACACAATCTTATATGTATGGAGTCAATAACGTCGGTAACGATGTTTAACTGGAGATTAGTCATGCAACGCTAAGTATGCATAACTGGACTATTAACCAGAGATGGTGTAAACGGCCCTAAGTGTAGTAGTGCGTGGTTAAGTGAACGATTAAGGAAAATATTCAAGCGGTGCCTAATTGTTAGTTTCGTAGCTAAAAAATACCTAAGGCCATAAGCAACTGAACAGCTAAAGGCCGAGTTGGGTTTTTTTTGAAACTTAGTAAGCTTTAGCAAATAAATGTTTATAGAATGTTTGTAATGTATGTACGTGTAGCGGTAATTTTTAAAAATTTGCCCAGTTATTTATAAGCAATATTCGCATATACATATATATTGTTGGAGAGGCGGTGTTTTGGTGATGAAAAACATTGTATAGTGTTTCTTATTAAAATTTTAAAAGTTCGACATCTAACTATGCGAAATTTTTTAATTTTTTTTTTGCAGCAAAAATTCATGTAATTTGTCTAAATTCGACTTTTTGGAAAAATAAAGGCCTTGAAAGACCGGTGCAAAATTGCAAAATGATTTTTTGCTCGCTGTACCCCCAACTTTGTCTACTAGGATCGAAACAAAGTTAAATGTTGTATAGTTCGGTAACTACTTTTACATTCCCAAACGTCAAGGCTTCAAATTGCAGTACGGACTAATCTCTTAATAAATTTTATAGTCTTAGGTCTATACGTCATTAGTGAGCGCTGGTTCGTCATTAACTTCTCGAAGCGCTGGCCAAGTAAATGCAAATGGAAAACAGCATTAAATGATAATATCCAGAAATTATCAACAGGAAATGTATTGCTTTTCGTCACTTCAAGCAAAAACAAAAAAAAAAAACAATAAATAAGGGCTTGACTGAGAAGTTTTCGTCCATCTACCGTATAGCCTCGATATTTATACAAAATTCTCTTAGGGCCGTTTAACTGTCCGTTAAACACATCAACTGCTCTATCGATCACATTACAGGCAGGCGATAAGGGCCTTCTTCTCGATGACTCTATTTGCCCATCGCTTATTGTGCCCCATTATTTCTGTCATTTTGCGAAGGAGGCGTAATCTTGCAAACCATCGTACGCTTGACCTAACAGAGCAGCCCGCTCCGGTAAATAAAATACGGTCACAATAAGTGATTCCGAAACTGTGGGACATTCGGCTTATATCGCAATAGCACTTCGTCTGTAGACTGATTTGTTGCCCCGACTATACGAACCCAAGTGCAATGCATCTGTCCACACCTCGGAAACATAAAATATTACGTAGCTCAGAGTGCTCGGCAATCTTTACCTATGTTTTTTTTTGGTTCTCTGGTATCTAACATAATTCTCGAAGATGTCTTGAATGTGTTTGGGATGGGATCACAAAATGTTTAACAAATTAAAAAAATCTGTATTTAAATAGAAGCGTCGGGGGTACTGCGCATTGTACTTACAGTACTCACAGCACCGCTTTTCCAGAGTTCTCCAGATATTGTTTTCTCTGATATCGGTTTGACCAAATGTGAAGCTTCAATTTTCACAGGAAAACAAATTGCTTCGATGCCAGGCCTACAGATAATTGCAAAGCTTTGATTCAGTTCAATAAAATTGCATTCTAAGACCTTTTCCGCAGAGACAAGCTCTAATACAAAGCCGTCTAAAAGCAGATAGATCATTTGGATTCGATAGAAACACCAATTGGTGAAGCTTCCATCGCTTGGGGAAAACGCTTTTCTTTATAAAGTCGTCTTCACACCTTACGATGACGGGAACCGTTTTCGAACGATTTTAAAGCTGGCTTCAAATTGTGAGGCTTACATATATACCCAATCGGAAAAATGAGGAACGCTGGCAGACCTTCCTTTTGCAAGGTGTATTAGAAGATCTGCCAATAGCGCTGCCATTCGAATTCGGGCGAGAAGTTGTATTTGATAAGCAAACAAAGTCAAATAAAAGCGAAAATTGCAGTAAACGTTTCTATGAGGGTCTGTTGCAAAATATAAACTGTGTCATATTTATTCCAAGTGAACGTGTTTTTTTTTTTGGGGGAAGCTGAATCAGATGCTCTGGCTATTTGATACAAAAATAAATGGGATCAAGAAACGCGAATAGAAGACCTCTCGCTTCAAAATATTGGAAATAACTCTGCCAAGAAGGCTTAATTTGTCTAATTTTGCCTACTGGGTAGTTATGTTAGATATGCTTACATAAATATACTAGTTAACCCCTTGAGTTTATAGAAGAGAGCGTGGCGTTTATAGTAAACTGAAAAATAGCGATAGATGTAGTAAATTCAGAGAAACATAGTCTTGGACCCATTACGAACAGACAGCTAAACGCACTGTCCTGTTGTAAGCTAAAAAGGGATACGAGTTTGCAAGAAATCGTAGCACTTCGTTAATTTAAAAATTAAAGCGCATTTCCACTGAAAATCTTTATTACTGTTTTATTTTTTTATTTCTTTGCCCCGAAGGACGTCGTAAGCTTTGCGTCATAAAATATAGCACTTTTGCAAAAAAATGGTGTACTTTTTAGATGACTTAATGAAGCCCCACCATTTAAGGATGCATACAAAGAAGGTCAAAATTGTTTTAGCACCAGGTCATCGTTATATTAAGAGTAAGTGTGGCGAATTAGAAAGAAGACGGTAGAAATATCAATGACCCCATTTAAACGGAAAAACTCTTTCATTCTGTGTCTCGGCAAACCTTGCCGTACTTGCAGATATCTCACAGAAAATAAGAGTCCATAGCATCGAAGGAGAAGGGCTGTCCTGCGGCAGCGCTTTTATTCTTGGCCTAAAAGTAAGGAAGGTCCTGCTTTTCAGTCCATTCAATCTAAACGAATAATTTTTACATTACACACCGTTTTTGCGCTTCAACACTATTTGTGTATTGGTCAATGCAAAAGTTCTATCAGGCGTCGCGAAGCAAGCCAGGCATTTGCTAGTTTAATAATAAAACTGAAATGAAAACATCATTTATGAGCAAAATTTCATAACGGTCAAACCAAAAATTATAGAAGTTTAAATTTTATGCCGGCCCATATTTAAAGATTAAGCAATAATAATATGCCGTCAAAAAGTTATCGCTCCCCTCAACTTAATTCGGTCTTTAAAGGGTTAAACGCAAAAATTATTTCGTGCCCACAAATCGTATCCTGGGGTCCTTTAGTCGTCGGGATTGTATCTAGGACTCCGATCTGGTGTTCGGCGAAGATCATTGAAGTGAAGTACATATATTGTTGCATGTTTTTTTTTTTTAATTGATTGAATAAAATTAAGGGAAACACGCTATTTTTCCAGCACCAATACACCTCTTCAAATAACACAACTAATTATGATACAAGAAATTTGTAACCATTTCCCAGATGCATGCAAATTTTGCATGCCAGTTTTTTTTTTATAAATAATAATTGCAAAAAGAAAACAAAAAAAAAAATAAATTTTGTACCTTCTTTTATACCAAGAACCAGATATACATGCATACATACATATGTGTTTTTATACCAGTAATTAAAGGAATTTAGAGCAAATTATTGCATACATTAAAGCCTCAAAAATATATGCAAAGTGCAACAGCATTAAGA